TAATAATAGCTGCAATTTTGTGCTCCCTGCATGCTTCTGCCATCTGACGGCGGCAGGAGGTAACGCAACATAAACAAATACTTTAATTAATATTTTTATTTAATTTTAATATTCAGGTACAGAAGGATAATTAATACAATAGGGTGTCATAAATGGTTTATTATGACTAGACTTTCAGTCGACTTTATTATTTTTATGTCCCCCTTATCTCACTATTTTTCATTTGAAATATTTAATATTATTTAATTTAATACTTAAACTCAAATTAACTTTTCGACTACAAAAAAAAATTTGTAATTTTTAAAATTGTTATAAAAAATATTATATATATATTACATAATATTTATATAAATATTATATATAAAATGTTGTTTTTCAAATATTTTTTTTATATTTTAAAACAATTTTTAAAAACAAAAATACACAGAAAGGTCTATTTTTATAAGAAATTAATTGAATTTTTTACAATTAATATTAAATCTAAGTCCCTAATATGAAAAAAAAATTTTTACTTAATTATAACATTTATATAAACAATTAAACATTTTGGCTGTTTGTGTGCAAAAAAATTTGTATTCTTTATAAATTTGATTGGGATTTTTGCGCAAAAGTTTCCTTTTAATTAAATAATTGTTTTGCGATAAATTTTCTTATATTTTAAAAAAATTTATATAAACAAATTTATTGTACCGCAATTGTTGGTCTGAAATTAATTAAATTTTTAATCTGCTCTGCTTTTACAAAAAATGTTTATTTATTAAATTTGGCAGCTTTTATTAAAGAATGCTTATATATTTTTTTTAGAAATAATTCATGTTTAATGTAATTAATTAATTATAAATATTAAAATTGCTATACGTAATATAATAATAGCTGCGACTTTTTGCTCCCTGCATGCTTCTGCCATCTGACGGCGGCAGGACGTAACGCAACATAAACAAATACTTCATGTAATATTTTTATTTAATTTTAATATTCAGGTACAGAAGGATAACTAATACAATAGGGTGTCATAAATGGTTTATTATGACTAGACTTTCAGTCGACTCTATTATTTTTATGTCTCCTTTTTTCATTATTTTTTTTTTGAAATATTTAATATTTTAAATTAATATTTTAATACAAATTAACTTTTAGACTACAATTATGAACCAAATTCAAATTGTTTTCTCTAACTCAAAACTAATTTCGGATTTCGATTAATTTCTGACCAAAAATTGCGGTATTTATTTATATAAATTGTTTAATAATATAATATATATGTAATTCCAATATTTTGGTATAGAAGGCAGAAGCATGAAGGGAGCACAAAATTGCAGCCCTGATTATATTAATCTCCTACTTTTCGTTTTTCAATCGCGTTTTTCTATGGATTCGCACAATCAATTTACAAAATTTATAAGATAATTATCCTTAGCATTTTTGCCGATTTTGTATAAAGATTCCGTTGTTTCAAGAAAAAAGTATTGTAAAATCAATGTTTATCATTTTTACGTTTAGTGCCATTTTTATAGGGCAATAATTAAAGGTTTTTTTTCTCTTTGCCAAAGAATTTCAGAAACCACTTAACACTCTTAATTATTAATATTAAAATTTGCTACATGTAACTGAAATAAAAAAAGTAAAAAATTTCTCTAAATATTATAAATTTTTTTTGCCAGAACATATATGTACAATTTCTCTTTAAATATAAATAAAAAAAAGAGAATCATGAGATTTTGAAAATGAATTTTTTTCTGGTTCTCTCCGTTACAATAAAATTTAAGTTAAATATTTATATTTATATACAATAGAGTAAAAAAATTTTTAAATTGAATTGAATAAACATTTATTTACATGTACTCATATTTACATATTAACTAAATTTCCATGGAAAGAAATGTATTAAAAATATTATCTACCAAACTAAAAAATATTGGGAGAATCTTAATTACTTTTCTAAAAACAAATACAATAGTAACGAATAAACAATTTTCGAAAGAATGAAAAGTTTTAATAAATTTTCATATTATGTATAACAAGTTTTTTTTTTTTTTTGTAAAATCGTATCAATTTTGTATATAGAAAGAAAGTAAATATTTTTGAATTTTAATGGAAATATATATGTATATAACGCATAAAATTTGTGATATAATATTAGTCATATACAAATAGAAACTGAATATGAAATATCATATGACTTAGAGCAAACAGGAACTCATATACATCCTTTATGACAATATATCCCTGACAGCTAAATTCTCATTTTGACCTTAACATCACGATACAATGGAGAATATTTCAGCACTATCACGTGCATTCGTCAATTTAAATACCATTGCGCTATAATTAAACGAGGACATTTCTTTCAAATGTATGTTAATGATATTCAAACATCTTAAAGAGAAATTTATAATATTATATTTTCAAAAAAAAAAAAATTTTCTCAACCCTCTAAAAGATTTGCAATAAAAAAATTTCTTTTAAAATATTTCTTCGTAAATAATAGTTTTGAAAAATTTAATATAAAATCCATGTAATATGTCTTATAAATTCGTCAATATTTATTCAACATTGTAGTAGATTTTTTACTTTAAAAAAAAAAAGTTAATCAAAGGCAATTATGATAAATTAATGAATTTTCAATAAATTAAAAAAAAAGAATAATAATTCTAGAAAAATTATTTTTTATTTATATGAATAAAGAAAATTTATGTTTCTTATATAATATTTTATATATCTATAATAATTTTTATTAGAGATATGTAATCGCTCCCATAAAAAAATTAAAAATTGTCATATTTATTCAAATTTAATTATCACTTTTTGCCCTTCTATTTAATTATAATTTAAATTTAATATTTCATTTATAGAGGCTATTTTTAAATGTTTCAATATACAAAAACCACAATGATGACATTGCATTGTCATTTTATTTTCAATGAAATAAAAATTAAATTTTCAGATTTTATGAATATATAACCTCGTTTTGTATATAGTATTAATTAAACATAAAAGTGTGGTTAGAATTATTTATTTATTTATTTGAAACATAATGGGATATTATTATATCACATAATTCAAAAAAAATTATTTATATCTCTACCTTTTTTTTTATTATTTCCATATATATAGTCAGATAATTATTTTGCTTCTCTTATTACATCAACACCTGGTTTCTATTTTTATATCCAATTTAAAAGAAATTTAATTAACGATAAAATTCACAGACGATTAAAAAAAAAGGTATTCATATTTTAATAATTTCACCATATTGTAGGGATATTAATTTCAAAAAAGTTTTGATAAAAAATTAAATCACTTTTTCAAAATTATATAGAGGGTTCAAAATAACGATTTTACTTTTTTTTTTAATAATGTTAAAAAAAACTCGAGACTTATGAAATTACATAAAAATTAGTGCTTGAAGGTTCTTTTTTTTAGGGTGATTACAAATATGACTACAGATTTACGAAATTAAAAATGGAGGATTCAATATGGCAGACACGTTTTTAAAAACGGGCAGATTTATTTTGAATTTTGTATATTTGTAATCATATTTCTAATTGACTTAAAAAAAAAAAAACTTCAAGCACTAATTTTTATGTAGTTTCATAAATTAAAATTCTTTTTTTTTACACTAACTGCAAAAATCCTATCATTGTTATTATGATAAAAATCTTCAAAAAAACGGTTTTTTCTAACCATCTATAATTTTAAAAAAGTCATTTAATTTTTTATAAAAACTTTTTTCAAATTGGAACATTTTTTCATATGTTACAATTTAAAATTTATATAATCAAAAGTGGACGAAAAATAGATAAGTTTAGAATTATTTTTTGCAAATAATTTTATATTTATTATTTAATTAATTTTATTTCAATTTTCAAAATTATTGTCCTGAAAAATATTGGTCCCATGTTTTTTTTATGATATAAAAAAATAAATATAAGCAGAAAATTTTATATGTGACGAGCTTTAAAGAATGGAACCTGAGAGGCAAAAAATTATAGGTTATGTTTATGATAGTTTGGGAGGGAAAATAGACAAAGAGAAAAAAATATATCCAAAACTCAATACAAAAAATTAAAAATATTTAATAAAAACTGATTTTAATGTTACATATATTTAAAAAAAGTAACTTTTAATCAATATATAACTATCATAAACATAACCTATAATTTTTTGCTTCTTAGCTGTTTCTTAAGATCTCGTCATAATAATACACAAAATGAAAAATGAAAAAAATGAAAAAAAATTGACAAAATGAAAAACATGAAAAGAATAAATGGTTTTACAACTGTCAAGGATATTTTATTAATAATATTACACTATTTATAATAGTGAACAAAGTCGCCATATTTAAATTTAATAATCGACTCCTATAAACTAGTGACGTTATTCGTCTTTAAAGAGCATTTTGAAAAATATAAAAAATATTTAGTAAGCATTTTAAGAGAAGTAAAATTTTCATTAATATTTTCGAAATATAAATTATTCTTCTTATTATTATTATTATTATTATTATTATTATTATTAATAATGTTAAAAATCAGTTGTTTTTAAAGTTTAAATTTTTCATTAAATGTACAATAGCAAAAGAAAATTGTTAAATGTTTCTCATTAAAAAAAAATTAAATTATTTTACTTTTACTATAATTAAATATTTATACATAAAATTGTTTAATTTTTTTTTCACCATTTTTTTTATGGACTTGACAATATATAAATCATTTAATAATGAAAATTTTTATCATTAAGGAATATTCAGTCTTATGATTATAAATTTTATAATTGATGAAATTTGCAATTTATGTTTTTATAAATTAAAAAATTATGTATATTTCAATAATAATTTAAAGTAAATATACTCTCTAAATCTGAATCAGTAGAAATTTTACTAATTCAATAAGTTCTTTTCATTTTAACTGAAGTTTCAGTTATTTTTTGAAATTTACTAATATAATTAGTAAATATGCAAGCAATAGAAAATAACTTATGTAAATCAGTAATTTGTATATAACATAACCTTTAAAATTAACTATTAAATCAGTAGATTTTGTGACCGCCGCCATATATTTATACTACTGATTCAATCAGTAATTGATATTTTACTAATTGAATCAGTAAATTTCTACTAATTGTCAGTTGCTCAATTCTCGCTATGGCATTTAGTAGATTTCTACTGCTAATCAGTAAAATATTACTGATTCAGATTTAGAGAGTATTAATAGAAATTTTTTTCCTTTCAATTAAAAGATGACTTTCTTGATTTTACACAGAGAGAAAAGCGTAGTAGAGCTTACTACCATGTCAGTTAAATCTACTAAACAGAATCGTTCATTTTGGATTGACTAAACAGTCAGTTAAATATGAACTATTTAGTAAAATATAAGGAAGCACCTGACAGGAATGAAATGGACAAATCTGATTGGTTGTCAACAATCTGCTTAATTGTGGACAACCAATCAGATTTGTTCATTTCGTTTCTGTCGGTAAATAATTTTTTTGTAACAGAACTATAGTAGTAACTCTGACTACGTTGTTTAGTAGAATCTGTACTAAACGTGTTTAGTATAATATACTGAAACTCTTCTCTCTCATATATATATATATATAATATTGAATGACATGAATTTTAAACTCAATGACTTTAAGTCAAAGAGAATCAACTTGATTGTTGACCATTTTTAACAGCTGTGTTATTAGTATTTTTTTTAGCGTCAAGTGAATTATTTCGATTAAGTCCATTATTACTGTGTAAAAGTACAGTACTTGTTTGAACACTAAGAACACTGGCTTTACGAATTTTGTCTTTATCACAAGAATTCAGCTTACTATTGGTATTAGTGATGCAACTCTCTTGTGTTCTCCTAATCTCTTGTGGTAAATTTTTCAACATGTAACAACGACGATGTGGACTGTGACGATTGTAAAAGCTGTCACAGCCGCTGCTCGAAGCAGTTGCACTGCGCCTGGAACCCAGGACTCCTTCGGATTTTCTCTGAATTGTACCTCCAGCCTGTGGACCCACGATAGCGCGATGATGCCTTCCGTGGCAGCCGACGCACACTTCCATAGTGCTCCCCAGAGTCTGGAACCACAAAATATCGACTCCAACAGCACCAATTGCACTTGTTTCTTATTTTAATATCATATATTATTTCATTAAATATCTTATATATACTCTTTATATGGGCATACAAAAATATTCTCTACATAATATCATTTATTATTTATACTAAGAAACAGTTTTAACCCTTAACTGGCACAATGAGTCTAGTAGACCCGAGCATTTTTTCGAGCTCTTAATTGAATATGTAGCTTTTGAATATTTTTTATATTTTACTATATTAGTTTGACATATTCTTACAAGAAAATAATTTGATTTTAGGTGTTGTTTACCCCTAATTACCCCCTGGACAAATTTTTTTACATTTGTTAATATATTTCAACTCTTATATTTAATTATTTTGCACAGAAAAATAAAATGGTATGTGAGAAATTAAATAATCTTGAACGAAAATTCATTTTTGGGGATGTTTACCTCTAAATTCATGGGGGTTGGCAGTGAAAATGCTACTGTTTAATTTCATTGTTCGTGCTAAATTATTACTCAGCAAAAAAAATATTTTTTTTATTGAATTTTTCATTATATTGTGAAATTTTTATATTTCCATAAAACTTTAGGGGTGGTTTTCACCTCTTAAATGTTCACGATTGCCGATAAAAAAATATATGCGTTGATTAGTTTTTCGAGTACTACAACATATATAAAGATAAACGAAATTGGAAGGGGACACCTATCAAGTATTCCTTGTTATTAATTTTAAAAGTGTAACTATAATTCGATATATAAAAAAATAAATTAGCTTCAAGTATTAATAATTATAAATTTTTAATTTCAATCTAAAAAGTCACATTTTATTCTGCAAAATAAATACCATTTTTGCAAGTTTTTTTTTTTAACTAACTTAAAATAAATTAATCCCTGTAAAACTGATTACATTTTAAAAATCACATTATAAGCTACCTCAGATTAAATTTTTGTGCAAAAATATTCAATACCGGCTGTACAATACAAGTTTGAATACGTCGGGTCCAGCAGACCCGTTATGCCATTTACGTTCGATCGCGGAATTGTCTGACATAAATAAAGTTTAGTGTATTTCATTTTATATCCACACAAATTTTTTCTTATTCAATTGTTCATTATAAATAAATTTTTTACTTTTCTCTTTCTTAAAATTCGTAATAAAATTAATTTTAATACTTAAAAATTGAGTGCAGTGAAGAAATTGATTAATAAAATTGTCAATAAGAGCATGCCGGCCATGACAGTTATACTTTAATAGTTAATACCAATTTAGATATAAAAAAATGATCTTAATATTTGGACTAATTTGATACCATTATACCATATATCGAATCAAAACGTTGCATGAGTTGATTAGGTTGATCCTATTTACTGTGAAAATCCTGGGGGTCAATTATGTAATTTCACTTCCATTTTCACTGATTCTAATTTTCATTTATATTTCCACTTCCAGTGATTCTAATATTCACTGATATTTTCACTTTCACTAATTTCTAATCATTGGAAGTGTAAGTGAAAATAAAAATATCAGTGAATATTAGAATCAGCGAAAGATAAAGTAAAAGTGAAAATGAAAATATGTGTGAATATTAGAATCAGAAGAGAAAGTGGAAGTGAAAATAAAGTTTTTTCTGCGATATATAAATAATTGATATATACTTTTAAAAATTTCCAATTAAATACTTTCCTCACATTTACAAATGAAAATAATTACTGATATATAACGACTAAAAATGTGACATGCGGTGACATAAAAGTTTTTTTATGCTAAAAAACAATAAAAAATTCAAAATTTCTAATTAATAATTATTATAATTATTGTTCGACAATATTTAAAAAGTAACACTTGGTAAGAGAACGACTATTCAAATTTCGCGCCAAATTGTTTTCAGTTTATGACCAATTTAAGACGTAGGATCAGCAGTACTGTAAACGTAAAAAAAAATAATTTCCATTTTTCATATGAAACTTGACATCGTATTATAAAAATGTAAATTATTATTAAATTATGAGTGTTTTCCAACATTTGTTAGCTTTATTTAATGTAAAAATATATATATCGGGCATAGGCTTATTACTTCAATAAATACAAATACTTTTCGAAGTCGTGTGGCGTTTTTGAAAATTCAAAATAACGGATCTAATATGGCGACTAAATTTCATAAAATTAATTAAATTCACTTGAAAATTGACACTCGGGGGTTCTTGGGGTCGCTGATTAAGAATCCGATGATAGTTTTCCAAAATTCAAAATGGCGGATTCAATATGTCGACTAAATTTCAAAACAAGAAGGGGGTCCTTTATGTTTATTTCATAAACATTATGCTTCCTCATTATGTGAAGCAAAAAATTCGCTTCCTCGTGAAGGAAGCAATGAATTTGTCCAATTCAATTGATTGATTTAAAAACTTTCGAATTAAAAATGTTTTAAATTAATTAAATTTTTTGAAAAATAAAGAAAATTTTAATTAATTTTGAGTGTAACATAAACTTTATATATACGAATCGATTCGTTTTAATGCAAGGAATACAATTATTTTATTCATCAACTTGAATTTAAAAAAAACACAAAATTTTTTAGCTAAAATATGAATTTTCGATTTTTCAATTTTTATTAATTCTCAAATTTTAAATCAAATCTATACTTTATATATACCAACCAATTCGTTTCAATGCAGGGAATAAAATTATTTCATATATAAACATGAATTTAAATAAACACCTCATTTTTTAGCTAAAATGAGAATTTTTGATTTTTTAACTTTCTTTAATTCTTTAAATTTCAATCAAATTTATACTTTATATATATCAATCGATTCATCTTGACATAAAGAAGACGATTATATTATATATTACCTTAAATTTTTCGATTTAAAAATTTTTTCAATTAAAAAAAAATTTTTGGAAAAAAGACGATAAAATTTTTTTTTTGGGGTATTTTTAAAAATCCTCTCGTCATTTTTGAGAGATTAATGAGTTAAATAAGCCTACCAAATTTTATCCAAATCCATTAAAACCTGTTAAAGATATCGTGTTCACAAAAACGATCCACACACACATACACACACACACACACACACACACACATACACACACACATACATACATCCGGACAATTGATCAGGATCTCATATAACATGTTTCTATATAGAGGAAAATTTGTTTTCACCATTTTTAAAAAGTTTATAAACGAAAGGACTACATAGCTTCCTCCACGAGGAAGCAAAATTAATTAAATTCACTTGAAAATTGCTATACGAGGGTTTTTGGAGTCGCTGATTACGAATCCGATGATAGTTTTCAAAAATTCAAAATGGTGGATCTAATATGGCGGATTAATTTTCAAAATTTACTAAGATTCTTCAGAAATTTGATACTAAGGGGTTTTTAGGGTCGCCGATTACGAATCTGGTGTTAATTTAGAAGTAATAGATGTTTTTGCTTACGAAACCATTTGCCATAAATTTTGACTTATTTAACTTTTTTTACACCAGGCATTATTCTGCTTATCAAATTACTTTGATAAAATCCGTTTATCTTCTCTTTTGTTATTTCTGGCGTTTGTTTGCCAGCTTTTGCAACAGTTTCTCTCAAAATACCCTTCGCAGCTTTCAATTATTTTTCTTTTTTTGCTAATCTTTCTAAGCAACTTAATTCTCTGACAATTTTTTTTATACTCCAACATGATGAAAGGATTGTTAAAATTACCAGTCTCTTTGAGTCATTTAAATTTAAACTCTCAAACTTTGTTTTCAATTCATCTAGCATCTATTCAAGTTCTATTTCTCGTTGTGATAATGAAGATGAAGTGTCCATTGAATCAACTGCCTCAGGTGCATCACACAAATAACATAACAAATTTTCGAATTTTCTAAAATATTGCTGCTTCTCCTTTAAATATAGCGCCAATATCATCACAAGAAGTCTTACCCTGAGCAGTTGTATGGTAATGCCACTCTGCCTTAATACCAAAATCTTTTTCGTGGTTCATTAAATTTTTTATTTGATATTTATTTTTAAAATGCTGCTTAGCACCATCGCTAAAATAAATAATTTTTTCAATTTTCAATAGTTATTTTATTTCTGGTATTAAAAGAGGTTGTACGGTGTACACAGAAGAAGTATCTTGTTGAGTGCAGTCAGATAAGAAAATAAAACTGTTATGCTCTATTTTAGATTACCCTTTAAAATAGCAAACTACTGTAAACACAGTACATGGATCATTATTAAAGTGGAAGGCCTGAACTGCATCTTGAGCAACATACTTATAAATTTCAGCAAAAACTAAGATTACTAGTACCTCTTTGTCAAGAAGATGAGTTTTTCGAGTTTCGAAATAATCCACTTGTTTTTTTGCAATAAATGAATGAGATTTTAGAACTGAGAGTTTACGACATAATTCATCAACAAAGTCTTCAGAACACATTATGTGGGTGTTTAATGTGCATCTGTCAGTTCCAGTCCACTGACTAAAAATCACATGAAAAATATTATTATCTAGTAAACACTCTTTTAAATAGTTGCTTAATTCTGTGCTGCCTGGACAATCTTTACAATCATCAAGATTGCAAGCTGTAGTTGCGTTTTTACACATTATTTGAGAAAGAGCATCTTTATAATTAGTAACTGGATTTTCTGATTCTTTGTCAGGTTTTCGAAATCAATAGAATCAAACATCAATTTGCAATTTTGGTGGGTAGTACAAACACACACAGTATGTGTTCCACTACTCAAGTAGAGACCATTCAAATCTAGAAGCAATAGTCGTTTTTGCTTGAGAACCCATTTGCCATCAATTTTGACGAATTTAACGTCTTTTACGCCAGACATTATTCGGCTTATTAAATCACTTTGATAAAATCCATTTATCTTCTCTTTTGTTATTTCATGTAATTGTTTGCCAGCTTTTGCAACAATTTCTCTCAAAATACCCTTCGCTGCTTTCAATTATTTTCCTTTTTTTGCTAATCTTTCTGAGCAACTTAATTCTCTGACA